TTTTTTTTTTTTTTTGTCTCTCTGTCTCTTTCTGGCGAGTGCACACACCCTATAGCAAAAACCTCTCAAAAAAAAAATGCATATACACAAAGAATACTATTCAGCCTTAATAAATAAGGAGACCCTGTCATTCGTGACAATATGTAGGACATCATGTTAGGTTAAATAATCCAGGCACAGAAAAACAAACACTGATCTCACTCATATGTGGAGTGTAAAAAAATGTCAAACTCATGGAAAAGGGAAGTACGTAAAATGGTGGTTATCAAGAAGTGAGGGTTAGGGGGTGAGTAGAAGGACTGGGGAGATGTTGGTCAAAGGACAGAAAATTCCATTACACAGGAGGAATAAAAGTTGAAAGATCTATTGCACATTATGTTGACTATAGTTAATAACAATACATTGTATTATAAAAATTGCTGAAAGAATAGATTTTAGGTGTTCTCACCACAAAAAAGATAAATAGATAAAGCAATATATATTAAATACCTTGATTTAGCCATTCTACAATGAATACATATATCAAAACATCATGTTGAGCCCACAAATATACAGAATTATTACTTGTCAATTAAAAAATAATTTAAAAAGAATGGGATACAATGAACTATGTTAAAGAATGATAAGATACTTCGTGAATAAGTCCAATCTAAGTTAAATTGTATCATTGTAGAAACCAACATGATTATTTAAGAGAGTTATTCCATCAATAAGCTGATGTTTGTTAAGTGACTATTATAGTATCGATATTAGTTCTTGCTCTTCTCTCCTTTTAACCAAAAGACTTACCTTTAGAGTTGGAGAAGACCCAACATACACAGGTGGAGGGTTTCCTTGCCAGCCCTCAAGTCGGTAGATATGTCCCACACGAGAACAAGGGACAAACAGTAATTTGCCACCACACTGCCATATCTATGAAGGAAAAACACACATTGGGGCAGTTTTTTTTTCATGTGTGGAGATAAATTATAAAGGAAAATTTGTTTTGGGAATGTAAAACTAAAATGTAAGCTAGATACAGTGTTTATGCAGAACTAATAAACTAAACAAATCCTAAATGCTTTGTTTTAACAACTCATATAACAAAGAAGATAACAGGGAATATAGTAATAAACTGCTCCTAAGAGGCCTCTTCCTTGTATGCTCTTAGCCCCTAGCAATCTTTTCCCAATATAACCTCACAAAGTTAGGCATATTTTTGTTCTTAACATCATTCATAATTTCCATTGCTAATACATTTCCTACCTGGGTGATTGTTATAACAACCTCCTACCTGGCTTCTTCACCTTCAGCTTCTCTCTACTTAACTCTATCCTTATTTATGAAAACAGATTATTGCAGCTGAAGGGGAGCTATGTGTCATGTTATTCCCCTGCTTAATACCTTTGAAGATTCTCCACTGCTTATCAAATAAGTAAAAATCTCTGAACTCAGCATTAAAGGCTCTCTTGAATATGGTCCTAATGTACGTGTCTACTTTATCTTCTTAGATGGTTTCCTTACTCACACTGCCTGACTCTGCCAAACCGTGCTCCTTACTGTTTCCTGAATACAGTTTTCACGTTCTTACCTTTGTAATTTTTCTTACTCCACTTGCCTAGAAGCCCTCTTACCTTCCTAATTTCTGCATATTGACAACATGACAGTCTTTCTAGTTCTATCTGAAACTCTACCTCCACCCCAGTGCTATTTCTTAATGATAACAACTGAATGCCATTCTGCCTTCTTATTTTACCATAAATTTAAGTAGATTTCTAATCCTTTCTAATCGACTGTAATTTCCATAAGGAAGGACTGGGTTATTGCTCTTCTATCTCTCAAAGTATTAAGTACAGGACATTTAAGATAAGAGGTGGGGCTAGCAGGTGCTGTGGTGGTTAAGGTACTGGACTCCCACATGGTTGTCCACAGTTCAAGTCCTGGACCTGGTGGCTTTCTTTCTCACTCTCTCTCTGTTTGTCTCTGGTAAAACTGAATAATAATAATAATAAATTAAATTAAAATAATTTAAGAAGTGGCAATAAACACCTGTTTCAGTCAAACAGTGATATAGTTCTCTCTGTCTTTTGGAAAATGGAGGCAGGAGTAGGATTGAGGTGGGGGTTGGAGCATGGCAGGTATTATTGTGCAAAGACTGGCTCAACCACAGGGGAGGTGCAGCAGGAAGATGATGCTTCTTAGTCTGAGGATGGATAGTCATTGTGGGGATCTGCTTCTGTCTTGAATCATCACATCCTACCATGATAAAGGGTGACTGTGTTAGTGGTAGATGGCCAACGATGGTCCTAACACATAGATTCTCCAAAGGTCTTCGATAATAAAGGCCCCCAGTGTACAAAAAATTGGCATGGAGGCCAGGGGAGAATTTTCATTTTTGAACTTGCTGGCCAAAATTCTGAGCTGAGGTTTGTAAATATGTGGTAAGTTTGGAGCTTGCATTTTGCTTCACACGCAAAGTGTTGCTAAGTCATTCCTTCTAATTTGGAAAAATACATTCAGTTTCTTTTCTATAAGAAGTCAGCTTTAGGGGCCAGCAGGTGGTGTGGTAGTTAGGGGCACTGGACTCACACATGGCTGACCATGGTTCAAGTCCTGGACCTGGTGACTTGCTTTCTCACTTTCCCTGTCTCTCTCTCTCTCACTCTGTCCTTTTCTGGTCAAACTAAAATAAATAAATAAATAAAATAATTCTTAAAAAAAAAAAGTCAGCTTTATCTTGGAAGTCACAAAAGTTAGTAACTGCGTAGAAGGCTGCACTCAGGGTTGGCAGGTGGCATGGCAATTAAGGTGCTGGACTCCCACATGGCTGACCATGGTTTGAGTTCTGGACCTGGTGGCTTGCTTTCTAATGCTCTCTCTGGTCAAAATGAATAATAATAAATAAATAAAACAAAAAGTTCTTAAAGAAAAAGAAAGAAAGCTGCATTTGTTTAAATGAAATGTTACCTTGTATGAGATCTCAAAGTTTTCACCACCCCAAATCTGCAGACCTGGATCATAGAGACCCAGCTCAAAGAAGAATTCTCGTTCAATGGCAAATAATCCACCAGCCATGGCTGGGGACCTAAGAAAAAGAAACATTGCAATAAACCTTAAAGACAAACCCCCAATATCCCTTCACCAACAGACAACAAAGCTTTTGGGATATAGTATAAATAATGCATAGAAGAGACAATACTGATGGCCAAACATTAAGAAATTATAAATCTTTCATAAAAGAATCCGTTCGTAATTCTTTAATGAATTTGCCACAATTTCTAACTGAAACCAAGTTATAGTTCGTTACAGATTACACCATTGCATCATCTTGCCATTAGAGGGCGCTTTGGCCCCTTTGTTGATTTAAAAATAAAGCCTTCGTTTCAGTTAAAATAGAATTTTCACTTTCACTCCTTAAAAACATTGAGCCATACAGCCGTGGTCTGCTAACTGCTCCTGCAATGATTTATGAGTCACTCTGGGATGAACAAAACCGTACACCATGGAAGTAGTCTGTCATTTTTTAATTTTATAGCTCAGGGGATGACCAAATAAGGATATAAATCATCACAGGAAAGCCACAGTTCATTCGGAGTTTGCAAATGTAGCAGAGAAATGACATGGGAGAATTAGACATAGCTATTTACCATGCCAGGAGGGAAGAATGCAAAAGGGTGATCTGTGGGGCTTCTTGAGTGGATCTTAAATTCAGTACGTTTTTGGGGTAAAAGAACAAAGATTTGGTAGCTTTATAGGGACAAGTCACTTCTGCCACTGGACGAAATGATAAAAGAATAATTTTCACCCTGTTCTCTGCCCCTTGCTCAGTTAATTATTACTGTACCATGATTCTCAAGTTTTTAAATACTGCTGGGATACCTTCATCACCACACTTAATATGCAATTTATCAGTAAGTTCTACTGATTTCACTTTGAAAATATATGTAAAACTTCAAAAATTTCATGAAAAATTGGATTAAAGAGCTTATTTTGGTGCAAAAATATTGAATCCATGAATAGATTTTTTTTTTTATAACACAAATTTCCCATGAAACTTTTGAAGATCTTCTCATGTCTTAAAAATATCTACTTCTTCCTAACTTTACTGCCATCTCCCTAGACCAAGCCAACACTGTTTGGGCTCCACAGGGCCTCTCAAATCTATTCTGTCCCCACCCTAGTTTAATCGCACAGCAGCCAGGGTAGTCCCTTGAACCTGGGTCCTACCTTGCTATCCTCTTCCCATTCTCAGGCTCACCTGCTCCCTCTTCCCACAAGTTCTTACGGCTCTTCTGTCAGCTTGAGCACGCCAAACTGTTCAGCTCAAAGCCTTTGCTTAAGCACTCCTGAAATTTTCTTCCTCCTTACCTACCATGTTGACTCCTCATCATTTCAGCCTAAATGACACTTTGCCAGAGAGGCCTTTCCTCATCCTCCAGGCTGGAATAGCTTCTCCCTTTCATAAGCTCCTGCACCCTGTGATTTTTCTTCACACTACTTATCATGGTCACTGCCCCAGAATTATTTGTGCACTTAGCTGTTTAATTTCTGTCTCACTCACTTTAAGTTCTATGAGGGAACACATCTTTTAAAAAATTTATCCCCCTGAAAAGGTATCTGGCACACTGTCAGCATTCAATAAATATGTGCTGATGAATAAAGAGTGAGACAGATAATATGCTCAATACTAAGGAAAATCATATCAAGAACAAATTGTTCTCTCATGCCTTTTCTTAATATATGTTATCTAACTCACTAAGCAGCATTATTACATTTTTTATTCTATCTTCATATCACATTTATTAAACTATTAAAATGACTCCATGGGGCCAGCAGGTGGTGTGGTGGTGGTTAGGGTGCTGGATTCCCACATGGCTGACCATGGTTTGAGTCTTAGACCTGGTGGCTTGCTTTCTCACTCTCTCCTTGTCTCTCTCTGATGACTACAGCAAGTTGAAGAAAAATGGCAACAATAAATAAAATAAATACTTTAAAAATCACTCCACTATAATGTGCCTTTTTGATCTCTATATTTTTATTCATCTCAGTATATATTCAAAAATGCATCTTCATGTAGAAACTAATGAGTTAAAGAGAAACAATCCTTAAATCTTTCTAACTTCATAAGCACATGGAATTAACAGAAATATAAATGTACTCAGCAAGCTTTATATTTTTTTCTCACAAAATTACTTGTTAGGGTAAAGCAGGTAAGCAGTAGATTCCTGGACCATTTTGAATATAAACTTTTCAAATGAAAATTTGGAAAATGTCCAATAAGGTTGAAGTTCTATAATTTCCTTGTGTTTGCCATTCAGTATATGTTGATATCATGACATGCCCAAATCCCACTGGCATTTCTATGACATTGGAAGCACGTTCCCAAAACAGTTTTCATTTGATCAACATGTAACAGGGAGACAGAGAGAGACCAAAAGCAGAACCATGGGATCAGAAAAACAAATTAGACACATCCAGGAGAAGGCGGTACTAGTATCTGAGCAAAAATTTCATTTGGGGGTCACTATTTTGAAAGACAGTAAAATGTTTCAATTAATAAATCAAAAAATTAAAGGAAAGATTGTTCTACTCAGAGAACCATAAAAAGGGAAAAAGCTAATTTTGGAATAGAGTTTTCTTTTAATAAAGCACTCTCTTGAGCATGAAGCAATACATAAAGGATTCCATGTAGCACTTTCTAAAATCATATATTTTTATTCATCAGATTTAACTGACACAAAATTATTATCTGACAGCATACAGGAAAAAAGGGGGACAAACCCAAAAATCTCTTGCTAGTGCCTTTCACTGTTAACAGTACATCCAAAACCTCAGAGTGGAAATAAAAGTCTTGGATGTAAATAATTTATGTCTTTTAAATGTACAGAATGACATTTTCATCAAGAATAAATTTCATGTCTAGTCTACAAGGACAGAACAAAAATTTTTTTTTCACTTGTACTTAGAACTGATACCATATTACATTTTTTCCCCCAACAAAAGCATATAATTGTGAGTAACAGAGCTTGCATTTAGGGTCAAAGCAATAGTAAAGGAGCAAATGTGAATTCAACTCTCTGAAACAGTGTAAGGAAAAGTTGTTTCAGAATCAGAGTCAGCATCTATAGTTTTAATGATAAAGTTTTAACGTGGCAAGAGGTTAATAGGTTAGCAGCGACTGGAGAAAAGAATATGTAAGTGATTTAGTGATTACCGATACGGTTCAGTTTTTGTCTTTCTCAGTTTCTTCTCTCGAGAGGTCAGAGGCACCCGTTTCCAGAGCATACTCCAATCCCATGCTCCTCGGGCATACCCATCTTCATCACCACCCCCTTGGGGTACAATTTCATATGTGTTGCCATTTATGACATCTATAATCGGCACAGTGCAAATGGTTCTGTATTGTGTTGATGATGGCAGCAAAGATCAATGGAAGCGCATGTATGGACCCACACATTTACACGAGTTCATGGGGAAGGAAATAAAAAAAAGCACTTAGATAAACAGTCAACCAAAGAAAATAAAGTATGAATCTTTACCGATAAGGTTCGGTTTTATGTTTTCTTTTGGCCTTTTCCTTGTGGTTTAGAGGAATACGCTTCCACAGTAAACTCCAGTCCCAGGCCCCTCTGGCAAAACCATCTTCATCCCCACCTTGCTGTGGTTCAATGGAATAATCATTCCCATCTATATAATCTATTAGAGGCACAGTACATGTAGTTCTGAAACATTTACAGAAAATGAAAAAGCATTTAAGAACCCAAAACTCACTAGTTAACATGTCTAACCCACATTCTCTCTTTCTGTTGATGCTTTGTTTTTGTCCTCAGGAACTTGAATATCTAATGGAAACAGAGTAAATGAATGTCTCATAAAAGTCAAGGAGCCTGCTTTTGTAAGGGCAGGATAGAGGAGACTTCCCTCTAGGCTTACAGACAAATGTCAGGGACAAAGAGCATGCCATTGAGCTTAATATTAATAGTGCTTTCTCCTTTTTACTTTGGTCCTGCAGGCAACTTTGTTTTAAGCATTATTTACAAGATGTTCCTGCTTGTTATTTTCCCTCTCTAGCCTTCATTTTAAAATGTGTGTGTGTGTGTGTGTGTGTGTGTGTGTGTGTGTATTTGGTTACAAATAGTACTTGCCACATTCCTAGCCATTCTTTCACTTTCTTGCTTTCTATTTCTTGGGAAGTAGTTATGAATAAATGTTTTTGTACTTTCATGTAATCTTTCTACTCCTTTTATTGCAAAGAAAAAAAGGTACTATATGGATTTGTGCAATAAATAAATAAATAAATAAATAAATAAATAAATAAATATCTTCCAAAACCTGCTAAAGAATTTAAGAAGTGGTTTGAGAATTCAAAGGAAAAGCAAAAAAAAAAAAAAAAAGAAACCTTCATATTTGGGCTTCATGAAAATGCTAGTCATGCTAGTCTTCTATAACTTGGATGTACAGTCAGCATTACAAAGCTGACCTGATATTCTAATTTTTTAAATAGTTATCAAAGAGGATTTTAAGATCTATTTCTTAAAATGTAGTCAACAGCTTTTCATAACCAGCTTAAGGTGCTTTTAAAAATGTTTAGAACATGTATGTGTGGGAAGACAATTCCAGAAAGATACTTCATCGCCTCCCCGCCCTTGAGTGTGAATTCAGGCCAGAGGGCCACGAGGCGATGCATGTGGTTGCCCCTGGAACCTAAGGAAAACCATGCCTTCTTGCTTGGAGGACCACCAGTACTCACCTGGAGAGTTACCCGATACCTCCTTAGTCATCTTGCCTCACTTGTCATGATTGCACGTTTCCAAATAAACGGTGCAGTGCAGTGTCCCAGAGAGACCTCGACCTGACGGCTTAGTAGCTATCTGACTTGGGGCAAATGTGACCTCAGTAATTCTTCCTTTCACTCATGCCATTCTGCACAGGGGCATGTCTTATTTTCCTAGATTCTGAGAAAGTCGAATTTTGGACTTGAGGCAAGGAAGTCTTCTGGAACTAGGAGGTCGAGGCTGCCTTTTTGTTGTTTCATGCATTTTTGGGAATTTAATGGTGATTACCACATTTCCAAGGAATACTTGTCTATGTCTAAACTTTAAGTTTCAGTAGGAACCCAAAGCCTTACAGAAGTAACAGCTGGTCCTTACTATCTATAGTAATAATTTAAAAGAGAACAGAATTCCAGGACGGTATCATTTCAAAGCATGCTTTATCACATCTTTAAAATTGGATCCTCGTTTACAAAGAAACAATTAACATTACTCTTAGAGAAAATTTTTGGAAGCAGAGGAAGTCTCAATAACTCAACCACAACATGATTCTTGAGTGAGACCCTAGGTTTCTCCGAAATGCCAAACTGCCTACATCTGAACTGGCCCAAGGTATCAGCCTCCTCACTCCACCCAAGGAAACAATTAGTTGAAGGATAAAGGCACTTAAAACACAACACTTGATGCACTGAGTGGAACTGGAATTAAAGAATGAGAATATTATTTGTTCTTCTTGGGCAACCAAGGAAGAGAAAAAGCAAGGCAATGTTACCTGTCCTTAGATATGGGAGCTACAAGTGGTGCGTACCAGTTAACTGCCACCTCACAGTGGGCGTCAAGGTATATCAGCACCTTAAAGAAAAGAGGCAGGGTGAAGGAACAGTTCTCAGATATGGCACACTATATATAACACACAATTGAAAATCAGAAGCCAATAAATATTAGTCACCTTAAAAAAGAAAAATGCACACGCAGGAAATAAACAAAAAACTGGCCTGCAGTAAACTTTGACACACAAGTTATCTGTTAAAGCCAGTGTTCTCATTTCAATCTAAAAAAAGCTGAAGGGTGATTAAAAATAAAATGACAACATTGTAGATATCAGGTGCTTCCTACCTGTCCAAGTTTAGCCTTCTGAGCACCAATACTTCGTGCTTGAATTAAACCTTCTCTTCTCTCATTTCGAAATACTTTCACTAGGCCATTCCACATTTTAATGTACTCATCCAGTCTTTCTTTTAAGTGTTCTGTGAATAAAAACATGCAATCAATATTATAAATTACACTTATGGATATAAGTCAATTAGTTATTATTTTTCTCAGGAAACGAGGATTGAAAACAGGTGGGTTGACCAGTCAATAATTTTGTATGAGTCAGACTGGATGCTTAATCTATCAAGAAGGAAGATGCAGTGTATTATGACACACACAGATAGAGATGTGTACGTCTGTAATTGAGTAGAGGAAATTTTGTGTCATAAAAGGCAGACACATTTGGCGGTTTCCATCTTGGCTTCCCATTGTAAGAGAACAGCTTTTGTTTGTATCACTTGGCTCTCCACAGAGAACTAGCTCCTAGATACTTAATTTTCCTTTTCAAGTTTTTCCTATAGGGAATATGTGCCTGCCCGGGGGAGTGGGGGGAAGGGAGAGAGGGAGAGAAAGAAAGAGAAAGTGAGAAATTATCTCCCAGAGTGGTGGCAATGTTTCAATCCCTTCTCTGTTCTCCATTCTCCTCTCAGGATTCTGGGCACCTACGCACACACACACAGCATGATTTTTCAAGCCTCTGAGTCTAGGACTTGAACCAAGTAGTTGGCCATGTAGAATCCAGCACCTTAACCACCATGCCACCTGCTGGCTCAAACTTAGAGGATTAAAAGATGGTACTGGAGGACATAAACATTATTTCAAAACTGTTTAAATGTTTGGCCCATATATAAATCACTAAGAAATTGCTGTATTTAGAGATAAGCTAGTGGCTAAATGGGCAAATCATATTGTATACCTAACATTTTGCTCATTTTAGGGAACTTATTATTAGTAAGATACCCAAACATGGGTAACCAGGACTAAGAAAAACATTTTTTCTTCTACTTTGGCACCCAGTTTTAATGAGTATTATAAATAAAACTCATGCTTAATTCTATTTTTTCCAAGAAAAATATGAGTAGTTTCCCTTCAAGGTAATTTTTAAAAATTTTAATTTATTTTTTTATAAAAGCTTTTATTATTTATTTATTTATTTTTTAAGCCTGGTATAGACCTAAATCATTTTTCAAAAAGCCCTTCTGAATTTCATCAGGTATTTCTCTGGATATGCATCCTAAACACATCTTAAACAATTTTTTACAGAAAAACAAAACAAAACAAAAAAACAAGTTAATGGCCTATTCTTCAAATTTAGATTGTTGGTTAAGATTGTCCAAAAGGGAAAATGGTGAATTCAATGACTTCTGTCTTTCTTGGGAACTTACATTGTGATAGACTGTATTAGAGTTCAAAATATCCACTGCCACTTCTTGGGGAAAGATTATTCCAACCCACTGACATCAGCCTAAAGTCACAGAACTTGCTTTACCAATGAGATGTGGCCGGAAATGACATGGGCCACTTGTTAGCAGTCAAAGGTTAAGAGGCCGTGTGTGTGTCTCTTCTTTCCCTTTGCCCCTGAACAGGTGATGTCAGAGCCCAGGCTGCTCTGTGACCCTGGGTCCTGCAGTGAAGAAGGTGAAGCACAGAGCGTTGCAGGGACCTTGAAGTATGCATGACAGATAACCCCTGGCTTTTATAGCAGAACTTGCTCTATTTAAAGGCTCCAAACCTTGTTTAGAGAGGACGCTATAGTTTCCAGAAACCCAAATGTTACTAGGAGGATTTATCTCCTTCATGAGCTTTTGTATTAGCAAAGTATTTTGTCTTTAAGAAAAAAAATGTATAATTTTGGGCCAGCAGGTGGCAGCAGGTGGGCAAGGCAATAGATCATACATGGCCAAATGTGTGGCTTAAGTCCCAGACTCAGGCTTGAAAAACACTCCATGCATGTGTATGTGAGTGCCCAAAGTCCTGGGAGGAGAGTAGAGGAGAAGGGACTGCCACGTGGCCCTCCTGCATGGTGGTTTCTTTCTCTCTCTATTTCGGTTCTCTCTCAGGCAGGGAACATGGGCCCTATAGCAAAAATTAAATAAAAGCTTTAAACAATAAAAAAAAAAAGTGTAACTTCAGTTTTACTTTCTCAGTATGTTGGCGAAACTACAAAGCAAATTTCACTTGAGTCAGATTAACCAAACATTGCAAGGGGAATTCAAAGAGTCTGTGAGAAAAATGGAATTAAAGTCTGTTTATTTTGGTGCAAAAAATTTTAAATGTATGCTTAATTTGTCAGAATATGCATTTTCCATGAACTTTCTGAAGCTCCCTCACCCTTGTATATAATTTTACTAAGAAATGGAGCAACAGTCTTATGGTTGTTTTGAAATTGGAAAAACTAAAGATCTTCTGTGCCTCTGTTTAAGATAGTCCAAAGAGTGCTGCCTTTGGCGGCACATCTACTAAAATTGGAATGATAGAGAGGATTAGCATGGACCCTGCGCAAGGATGACACGCAAATTCCTGAAGCATTCCATACTTTTTTGAAACATAAACTTTTTTCATTACCTGATCCCTCTGGAATTGGAAAATATCTGCGGGTATTCTTATTTTGTGGCAGAATGGTTATTTGTGTAAGTTCAATAATATCTGTTACCTTGCACCAGAAATTTGAAATACTGGTTATTGCCAGGGCTTCAACTAGACTGTCATTTCTGAAGATATGACCAGAAAGCTAAGGAACTAAGATAGATCTCAAGAAAGTCAACAGAAGCTCTTGGAAAGACTGCCTGGTACCATAAACAGTTCTGCCTGGCAGATGAATAAAGAATGTCACTTCCTGACAGGCCTGAAAAACTTTCAGATATAGGTACTTAACGGTACAGGCAGATGGTGAGTCCCTGACTTGGCTCAGTAGCCTTGGGAGGCTCTTTATAGAGTCTAATCTGAAGTTCCTTATAAAAGGTCCCAGCAATCCCAACTAAATCAATTAGTATTCAGATATAGGTACTTAACGGTACAGGCAGATGGTGAGTCCCTGACTTGGCTCAGTAGCCTTGGGAGGCTCTTTATAGAGTCTAATCTGAAGTTCCTTATAAAAGGTCCCAGCAAAGCTAACTAAATCAATTAGTATTCATATGGGGCTTTGTGCAAATAACAGAAAAACTTGAAATTTATTTATTTTTTTCAAATAAGTTAGTGTATGCCTCTTTGGTAACAGGGGAATGGAGAGAGAAAAAAATGTTTCAGAAGAAAATTACAGTGCACTTGTTACCAGATTTTACCTTTGTCCATATCTGTTTTTTGAGTTTTAAATATCTGCCTGCCGTTTGAACAGAATCCTAACCTTTTTCCAGGCTTTAAGTCTTAGGCACATTTTTCTTAATATTGTTGGATTTTTGGCTTATTAAAGCTAAAACTTCTTTATATATACACAAATATATATATATATACATATTTATATATATATATATATATAATTACTACAGTAAACTACATAGCATCAGTTAGTTGCTACTTTACAGTACATTCATCCTAATCACTGAGTTTTATACCTAAAGTCAGACATGTGATCATAGATATGTTTATATCCACTGTTCTTGTTATCAAAGTATTTAGATTAGTTAAGATCCTTTGTGAATCAATAAAATATAGAGGAAAAAAGATAGTCCAAACATCCCTGCACACACCAAGCTAAGCAAATCCTGAACCACTGACTTTAAAATGTGTTACAAGAGACTGAATATTAGAAGCTTGTAACAATAGAAACACTGAACAGAAAATGATGGAAGTAAAATGTCCAAAAATCTTCCAGTTCAAAATTCTGTTCTCCTTTTCTAGGGCTAAGAACTTATTTTAGCATGGTAAATTCCTTTTGGTATATTTTCATTATTTTAGGGCACACTAACCTTTGCTTATATTAATAATAAGAAAGTTCTTAAAATCAGTACAATAATGTATAGTATTCTCAAAGTTCTTTTATAGATTTAGTTTTTTTCTAAATCTAAAATTTTGCTGGTACCAAAATATAATTTTAAAACATATTTTCAAATATGTCTCTCTTGAGACAATTTTTTTTTTTTTCAGGGAGGTTTTTGCTATAGGGCATGTGTCCTCACCAGAACGACCATATAGGGCATGTGTCCTCACCAGAAAGACAGAGAGAGACAGAGAGACAGGAAGCGAGAAATCATCCCCCAGGGGGGATGGCCATGCCACAATCCCTTTTTCTCTATTCTCTTCTTGGGATGTTAGGCACACACGCACATGCGCCCAGTGTGAGTTTAAGCCACCAGGTCTGGGACTTGAACTGCGGTTGATTACATGGGAGTCCAATGATATAACCATTATGTCAACTGCTGGTCCCGAGACAAATTTTTAACAAAAACATTGTTCTCATAGAAAACTGTAACCAAGATAAGATGTCCAAGCTAAATGCATTTGCTAAGACTAAAAAATTGTAAAGGTGGGGCCAGCAGGTAGTAGAGTGGTTAAAGTGCTTGACTCCCACACAGCCACTCATGGTTTGAATCCCAGATCTGACTGTTCAAAATCACACTGGGTGCATGTGCATGTGTGCCCATGTGCCCAAATCACAGGAGGAGAATGGAGAAGGGATTGCAGTGTGGCCATCCCCCATGGAGGGTAATCTCTCGCTTTTCCTCTCATTGTCTCTCCTTCCAGTGCACATGCACTATGACAAAAACCTTAAAAATTTTTTTTAAAAGGTATGCATTCCCTAGTATAATTAAAAATGATTAGCTGAAAAAAGTGACTAGCTGCACAAAGATAAGGAGAAAGGAAATAGGGCCATATTTCAAATTCTTTTCCATGTTAACCCAAATGTACGAGAGCAAGATTCTAGTCATGTCCTTACAAAAACAGCAAAGGGTTTTTTTTTCAGAGTGTAAGGGTTTAAAATAAAGTTTTGGAAGATGCCTTTATAAAGCCATTTAGAGTGGTGTTTTCATGCTACCTATGCTGTTTTTACTTCTAACATTATATTTGGTGATATCACTACCTGTGTATAAAAATCCTCTGCAAAACTTATGTGCCAAAAAAGCAAATATCCTGTTCTCATTGAGCAGTCTGAGCTCTTTAGTCAATTTTCAAAAGTTTAAATTCAGTCTTGTGACAAAGAGGAATAAATAAATATCCAGATTTGGATTTTAATGGAATTCTTCAGCAGCATAATTGTATTTTTATTTTACTTGCTAACTTAGGAAATGAGCTACAGCATTTATCTTTTCATATTATGTCACTAAGAAGATGGTCAAATTAGAATGTGTTTCGTTTTTAAAGTTAAATTATGAAACCACTAATCTAGGAAATCACTGCTGAGTCACTCTCTTGCCAAATAGCAATGAGACTTAACCAATGCCTAAATACTGTAATATCTGGCTCCTTGAAAAGAAGAAAAAGTTTCCTTCTATTCGATATTCTAAATCAAATATAGAACATAATAACTTTATATGATGCTTCGTATTATAAATAAAACACCATTTAAATGCAAAATTCAGGTATATGGATAGGTATTTAGATTTCAGTTTGCAAACTATGGGGGGAGTTTCAGTTTGCATTGTAATATACATGCAATTGCATTTTTTCAGTCTTACAATAAATTATCTTTATGACTAAATTTTTGCAAAATCCAAGTCCTAAAGAACTCGTCTAAGATAGTATAAGATAGTGGTGGAAGACACAGATTTAAGAGCGTGTGGATTTAGATCCAGCTGTTAATTATTACTGTTGACTTCTGACTTAACATTTTGGAGCCTCATACATAAAGTGGGGGTGATAATTTCTATTGCAAGGATTAGCATGAGGATTAAACAAAACAATTCATATATAATGCTTGGCACAATGTCAACTTGATAATAGATGCCATCAATAAATGCCAACTATTAATATTTAAAGACTATCGGCAATCACATCCTTGGCAATTACTCATAATTAACATACTTTATAGACTAAATGTCAACTTTATAGCCATTACCTTTATTGCTGAAATCATCAATTAACACAATTTCTGCTAAATATTTCCTTGGAGTCCTTTTAATTACACTGTGGACGGTTCTCATGAGGGTTGACCATCCTTCATTATGGAAGACAATGACAACGCTTGATGTGAGCAAGTTTTCATCATAATGCCAATACTTGCATCTGCAAAAGGAAAATTTCACCATATTTATTTAGAAGTGATTTATAATGATTGGCTTCAAAGGCACTATAATTATATTTTCTGACTGGATGAAATGTCATGGACTTAGCTAAGATAAGTGAATGAAATATGGCCTTTCATATATATAGATAGTATTTTCTTGAGATTTTTGCTATAGGGCACGTGTGCTCACTGGAGAAACAGAGAAAAAAAGATAGAAAGCAAGAAATCACCCCCCAGGAGGGATGGCCATGTCACAATCCCTTTTCCTCCATTCTCCTCTCAGGATTTTGGGCATGCATGCACACGTGCCCGACATAACGGTTAAGCCGCCGGATCTGGGACTTGAACTGTTGTTGACTGCATGGGAGTCCAGCGACGTAACCACCATCTATCTGCTGGTCTCTTGGCTTTTCATATTTTAACAGAAACATAAGACAGAGGATAAAAGTAGCTATGAGACAAAGTTACTCCTAGATAAAAGTGCTTTATAATCAACATGTGTGATAAAAAGAACCAATTTATGAATTTATGCTGAGGATGATTAAGATATATTTATGGCTATCAGGGCTTTCTTTCTTTCTCTTTTGTTTATTTCTATGACTTAAATCTCAGTTTATTTTCCTTTTTGAACCTTGATCTTTTAGCTTAACGAATTTATTTTATTGCTGCAAATAAACACTATATTACTATGTTTGAAAGCTGTCCTGTTCTAACATGGCTAAACTTTTTTTGGGAAAAAAAATTATACAGGTTGATATAAGGCAGATAAGAGGCAATGAAAAATTTACTGTTGAATGAATACAAGTTCTAATACTGTTTAGAGTTACTAGATTGGCTAAAGAAGGAGGTTTAGATATTTTTCAGAAAAATGATTTGAAACCAGTGAGCAGGGATGAAGTTGCCAGAGCTTTTTTCCTAACTGGAAGAAATGGCAAACGGGGCCTGATAAAGACTCGCAGAACCAGGGAGTGTTCAGGGAGTGTCACAGATACATGGCTTTCAAGGAGAGCTTTCAAGTAATCCAAAGTTGAGGGCCGTTTCAGAGTAACAAGTTCAAAACGGATAGTTGGGGAGAAACTCCGATCTTGTAAGATGTGTTAAACGTTTCTGGAGGGAAACTAATGCAGGGAGAGCAAAACATGTCTCATTTTAGACAAAACCAAACTGTAACTCAGATGGAGACTGAGGCAACATTTGTCTTCCTCTGACTCTAATTAGTAGTCCTAAAGCAGCAGATCCAGGTGGGAAAGAGCAATTTTGATTTAAAACAGACACCAGAATTGGTGAAAATAGCAAAAACATGGAAGGAGACTGGAACTTACTGATTACTAAGGTGGGAGATGGCAATTGAGGGAAAAGGGCAAGATAAGAACTTTGAAAGGGAGACAGAGGAGAGAGACTGAAGGAGGGGCCGGAGAGGGTAGGCTGAAGACAAGAGTGGGTCCCTGAAGAACACCTTCTCTGTCCTTGGGAGCTCTACGTGGAGATGGAAGGCCTTATGGTCTTACAGAGGACAGGGCATGAGAAGCTAGACTGGAACCGTGTTGTCCAATTTTTTTTACTTCTCATTTACCTACAATTCGGAAATGGTCATTCTTTTTTTTTTTTTCAGAGATTTTTGCTACAGGGTGTTTGTGCTCACCAGAGAGACAGAAAGCAAAAAACCACTCCTCCAGGGGGATGATCATGCCACAATTCCTTCTGCTCCATTCTCCTCTCGGGATTTTGGGCACTCATGCACACACACCTGGTTTGAGTTTTAAGTCGCCGGGTCTAGGACTCAAACCGCAGTCAACTGCGTGGAAGTCTGGAGATGTAACCATTATGCCATCTGTTGGTCCCTGGAAATGGTCATTCTAAACATGGAAACTAGACTGTGCGCCAGTAACAAATCTTGCTGTACTGGGAACTTCAAAATGTTTACAGTAAAATAGATAAAGAGTTTATTGGGCCCAGCAAGTGGCATGGTTATTAAGGCACTGTACTTCTACATGGCCGATTGTGGTTTGAGTCCTAGACCTGGCAGCTTGAAAATCATGCTGGGCATGTGTGTGTGCATACCTTAAGTCCTGAGAGAAGAACAGAGAAAAGATTGTGGCATAGCCATTCCTCTGGGAGGTAATTTCTCACTTTCCCACTGTCTCTCTGGTGAGCACATGTACCCTATGGCAAAAACCTTAAGAAAAATAGGTACGAGTTTATTTTGGTCCAAAAAATTTGGAATCCATGCATAGTATTTCCCATAAACTTTGGAAGTCCCTTGTGTACTTTTTCCTTAATATTTTTAATCATTACAAAAGTACCACATGGTTTACTGTACCAAATTCATACCATATAGAACAAAAGTTCTATCCCTCTCTCTCTCCAATTACATCAAATCTCACTTCCTAGAGGAATCATTGTTAATTATTGGTTGTGTATTTTTTTATATTCATGCAGACATGTGTCTGTATGTATATACAACATATATTTAGAGGAACATGTATAGATTTTTATTCCATGAGAACGCATATAGACTTATTTCATTTCTACTATTGTGTAATATTCTACAGGAGGCTGTTCCAGAGTCTATTCAATCATTTCCTTACTGATAGGCATCTCAGTTGATTCTACAAGTAATTACAATGATCATCTTTATGCCTCTTTCTCCACGCCCCTGCATAGCAATCTTTCCTACAATATGCGCAATATGCTCAGTGTAGCTCACTTAAGGACAAAACCTCATTTATTTAGCTTAGCACCATGTTCCTAGCATATGAGAAACAGTAGCTGCTCCGATTTGTTACTGAATTATTTTGGGATTTTTTTTCCTCCTAGAAATAGGGAGAGAGAGGGAAAGTGAGAAATCACCCCCCAGAGGGGGTGATTGGCCATGCCACAATCCCTTCTCTTTAACTTTTCTCTTGGAATTTTGGGCATCATGCATATGTGTCCAGTGTGATTTTCAAGCTGCCAAGTCTGGACTTCAGCCACACAGCTGGCCATGTGGGATCTAGCTGCCTCAACCTTCACACTATCTGCTGGCCCTGGGATAGTATTTTCAAAGTGCCTCTTGATGTACTGTCATCTCTCAGTGACGTCCACTCCTCACCCCTGAATCTAAGTGTGTCCTTGAGAACAAGTCAGTCCATTTGGTTGCATATTCTGTGCAGGTAGGATATTCCCCTCCCAAAGAAAAGAGAAGTAGATGCTTTTCTAATAGGGACAGATGGACAATCTAGATGACAGAATGTAACAAAAGCAGATGAAAGAAGAGGCTTGTGTCCAGACTCCATTTCTGAACTTTAGGAGACCACTCAATACTGAGTGGCTGTAGAACAGAGCAGAGCAATGCTGCGGTGTGGGATTAAGGACAAAGAGCTGTACCTCTTCCCAGTTCTTTGCAGTCTCCTTTGACTTTACATGGAGTAAGAGGGGCCAACCTATGGAGTGTTGGCTAAAGCAGCTAGATCCCACATGGTGACTGTGTGTTCGAGACCTGGACATAGCAGCTTGAAAAACATGCCAGGCACATGCGTGTGCCCCAAATCCCAAAGGCAGTGAGAAATGGAAGAGAAGGAATTGCAGCATGACCATTCCCATGGAGGGTACCTTCTCTCTTTTTCTCTCTCCCTCTCTCTCTCTCCCAGTGAGTGTATGCACTCTCTAGCAAATTTAGAAAAGAAGGAAAACAAAAAACAAAACAACAACAACAAAAGGAGCCAAAGAGCCCAGAAGTTTCCACATGCTAGTTTTCTTTGGGGAACACTGAAGACAGCTAAGAGTTTGGGGCCTGCCAGGGGTCACCATGGTAAAGGGTAAGATGGCATGCAGTGATCCTATGTGGTAGAAGACTTAAGCCAGGGACTGGCCCTTGTAGACAAGTGGGGTTCAGAGGATCCACAGTAGTCGTGACAGCCAGAGTGGACACCAGTCCCCTAAGTGGCTGAGGATGAAAGGCACCAAGTGCAGCAGGAGACTAGCCAGACACTACAGCAGGGGTTCCTTCAGCAGCAGATGGAAAGAGGTCAGTATACCTGGGCAGGCAGCACAGAAACTCAGAGCAGGAGGAGACAGCAGAGATGGAGGGGCAGCAGGCCAGACTGCCCAGATGCCTCAAGGATTCATGCCCCTCTGTCAACTAGACAGGAGAGGAAGAGAAGAGAGACCCTTTGGAACACAGGAACAACCTACACAGAAAGTCTGAAACTTTGAGCTGATGGGACACTCAGCCCAAATAAGAGCTTTAAGCCAACTGGGGTAGCAGTAATTACAAGCTTTCATTTGCCACCATCAGCTTAAATGGAGGTTCTTGAAAACATTTAGCTCCTTAGCAGCTGTTCTGATTTGTCATTGTGAGATGAAGCTAGTGAGTAGAACTCATGGAAGTAGTGCATAATACACAAAGCCTTGATAGAAGACTTGGTAATAAAAGAAACACCTGTTAAAATGATGTAAAACCCCCTATACTGCATTCTTTTTCTCACTTTATTGGCATGGGATCTGTAATAAGTTCCAGTAAAAAGGAAAGCCGACTGAACCAAGCAGCTCACTTTCAGATGGATGAGTCGGGGCCAGCAGGTGGCATGGAGATTAAGGCGGCTGGATCCCATGTGGCTGGTTATGTGGTTTGAGTCTTGGAATATGAAGGCCTGAGAAACATACCAGGCTCATTTTGCACACAAGCCCAGAATCCTGAGGGGAGAATGGAAGGAAAGGGATTGCAGCATGGCCCCTGGGTGGTGATTTCTCACTTTCTTTTTGTCTCTCTTCCTCTCTTTTTTTCTGGTAAGTAAATGTACCTTATAGCAAACTAGAAAGAAAAAAAAAGTAAAGGAAAAGAAAGAGAAAACCAAACCCACAGAAGGATGGCTAATTTCTGCTCTCTGGCATCTCTTTCCAGGACAGCTTTTAAATCCTCTACCATCAAGGACAGTGGTGGTTCCACTACTGCAGAGCGGCTCTGCTCACAAATATCCACACCCAGATTAGACTCAATGATTAAAGCTACAGAGTTATT